TATAAATGGCTTTTTAATTATTTAACTATATTGCTATTTAGGGGATTAGCTTCTCCTAACTTATTAACGTTTCTAATATAATCCCTGCTAAGGTTACTGCTTATTTAATAGCTATTAGCTCTATTATTATACTATTAATGCTGCCTCCTAATTTAATTCTTCAAAAGTAGATAAACAGTAATATTAACTTTTTAGAGTATATTGCTACTTTAACTCCTGCTTAGCTATTGGTTACTGAGCTATTAGCAAAGATATTTATATGCTGGTTTTTTATTTTAATGTATTCCCTATACGCTTTATTTAAGTTATATTAATCAGGTTCGCTATTAACTATAGTTATTTCCTATAATGGAGCTACCTATGCTAGAATAATTTCTATTTCTATCCCTGTCTTTCCTAACTGTGTTTCCATATTATAAAGGGGAGGAAGTGAACAACTTTGCTTTAAGCTTCTTGGCCAGTTTTCTAAGCTGTCTTTTTAATAGGTTAGTTTCTAGTAATATATAGAATCCTACCTAGAATTTGCTAATTTTCAGTTTTAGCTAGACATATAGGAGGTGGAGCAAGGCTTTAGCGCTGGATACTTTAACTAAGTTTATATAGAAGCATTAACAACTACTTAGGCCCCTATTCTTTATATAGAATTAAGAATCTTTGCTATAATATTATTAATCTTTCCTTTTAAGGATTTAGAATACTACGCTACTATTATATAGTCTATTTTGAAAGCTATTATAGCTTAATATAGCTATTTTGCTAATTATAAGCTAATATAGAAGAGGCGTTTAAATTAGTTAGCACTTCTTTATCTCCTTATTTTAACTTTAGCTAAGTGATTCTTAAACCTTAGCTTAGTATTAAAGATAACTCTTAGGATTCTTTCTTTTATAGAAGGTTTAATAATATAATTACCTATTTTTAATAAAGAGTTAGAGCTACTAATCTTTTTACAATTTTATATAAAATATATAAAGATTATTTTATTGCTTTTAAATATAGCGCTACTGTTTTTTGCTTATTAGAAGGCTTTTAAAATAACTTTATTATTAAATACTGATATATTTCTTTTTATTAATTCTAAAATAGCTTATTAAATATAGTTATTTATAAACCCTATATTGCCTTATTTCCTATTAATCTTTTCTTTTATTAGGAACGCGTTAAAGAAGATATATAGAATTAGGGCAAGCATTGATTTTTATAAAAGGCTAGATTCTGTAAATGTGACTTTGCTTAATTCTATGCTATTAACTAATACTGTTACTAATTGATCCATATAGAAAAAGTCAATTTATACTACTATGCAGGTTAGGATCCCCTTTACGCATAGCTAACTAATAAGCATTTACTAAAGAACGCTATTATATACTCCCTTTATATTAAAACTAATAAAGGAAAGGATTTTCTTCTATTACTATATTTTAAAGATTTTCTTAATTAAGAAAAGTAGCGCTTAGTTATATAAACGTCTTAGCCTAGCGCTAAATTATATTTTTAAAAGGAGATTAAATATTTTAGCCTAATATAATATTCTTTTTGCTAATATAAGTTTTATCAATTTGCTTAAAATAGCTAAAAAGGAGATAAGGTAGTATACTTTTACTATTTAGTAATCTAGTTTTCCTAGCTTTTATAATAGCAAAATTTATACTATTTTCTATATAGTTAATATGTATTTTAATTAGTATAATGCGTTAAAGATATTAGTAACTTAATTACTTAAAGTGGATTATAAGCATTTTTATATAATATTTGGAATATTATTTATACTTAATGCTTTATATAGGCTAATTTTAGCTATTACCTTAGTTACTTCTTTAATAGAGATATCTAGGTCCTTTATATATCTAGCATTAAGGTTTGGCGCGTTCTTTTTCTATTTTCTAAAAACTAGTAGGAAAAAGCATTAAAGTAGTTTATTTGCCTTAGCCTTGTCTCCTTTAAGCTCCATTTCCTAATCTTCAATATTAATAACTATAATAGGGATATTGCTAAATATTGATAATTATAAGTCAAAGTATCAAGCTGCTTTCCAGATATTATTAGTCTATATTAGGAATTTATTCTAATATAGTTGTTTTTTGTTGTAGATGCCTTTATAGAATTAGTATTTAGCTTACCTAGCTTTATAGTAGCTTTCTTTATCATCTAGTTTTATAGTTTATAATATAATGCTTTAGTTTAAGCATTACGTATATTCATTATGTAGCTTTATAAATTTGTTGTTCTATTATGCTTTTATATATAGGGATTCTTTAACTATAGGACTATAATTATAGATACATTGACTTATAATGTTCTAAATCTCTATAATTACCTAATTAAGCTTAGTAGTATTATTAATATTAATAACTGATAATCTCTATTTCTTAAGCGCCTTAATAGCTATATTCTAGTTTGTTTTTCTAAAATTGTATTTAGCTTCTTATAAAGCTATTATTTTAGCCTTATTAATTTAAAGTGTTATAGCTTTATAATCTGACTTATATTAGGTTAGGTAGATATTGCATTTTATAACCTGGTCTTCTATTAAATTGGATACTAGTATAAAATTAATAGTGGTTCTAAACTAACTTTATAGAAACGTGATTGTGCTGCTTAGTAAAGTTAAGAAAGTATTATATTATTGCATCTATTAGAGCACTAATTTGCTTTCTCTTTTATATTATAACTGTAGCATATTAATTCCTCTTTATATTAGGTTATAGCAGTTAAAATCGCTTCTAGTTATAATATAGAGGTTCTCTCTGTGTCTAGCTTTTGCTTCCTAGATTGCTCTACTTAAGGCATTGAGCCTAGTAGTAGCTGTCTCTTCTAATTCCTACTTAGAAGGTATATATCTACTATAGCTTAGAATGTAGATTAACGCTATGAAAATGTGTTTTATTAATATAAATATAGTGATAACTCCTATTATTATATCTAATAATATTACTAGAATCTGGACAAATAAAATATCTTTATAAATGTAAAATGCTAATTAGAATGCGTAATGTGTTAGTCCTTTTTAATATATAGTTAGTGTTATAGTAACCCAATATTAGTATTGCGAAATATATAGTTTGCCTTTAATGCTAATAATGCTTAATTCTGTAACTATAATTGCTATAAACTAGCTAATAGACTAGTTATTAATAAGGCTGAGCTAGACTAGGGATTATCTATTCACATTTGCTAAGAGGAAGCAGGTGTCCCTTATTATACATTGCTTATTGTGATTTCCTATCTAGTACGCTGGCTTGTAACTGTTTGCTAGTCCTCTTCCCTTATTTCAATAGGCTGGTTGGAGGGTTTGTTTCTGCCTTAGATTCTGATTCTGCTAATCTTATTTCAATATGCTGCGTATCCCAGGTCTATAGCTATATATAGTCCACTACACATTGCACACTTTAGCACTGTAGCTATGTAGTTATTAGTTCTATAGCTATCTGCGTATTTTCTATATTTTAAGAGTTAGCTATATTTAGCCTAGTAGTGGCTATATTTATTATAGTTATAGCATCTCTAAGGGCATTGGATCTTATAATATTGGCTAATTATAGCTATTCTGCTATTAATTTAGACTATATATTCCTTAAGCGCTCTCTAGGTGTCCTTTACTATATTAAGGTACATTACTATAGATCCTATAGGTTTCTCCCTTTTAAAAAGCTAGAATGCCTTAATAGCTCTATCAAATCTGTTTTCTATACTGAATTTGACTGCCAGTTCTGGTTTGATTCTATAGGTGCCTAGTACTAGGATTGCTGCTTTATATATATTATTAACTTTAATTAGGAAGAGTTCCTCTTTCTAGATTTGAGCTATCTTAAATACCTAGTAGACCTATGCTTTGTTTATCTGTAGTTGTGCTATGTCTTTCCTATTCTAAATAATTATTCTTATATTCCTTGCTTTAAATTAGATGCTTTTAATAATAATATTATTTATAGATTATTAGGCTGTAATAGCTTCCCAGATTTTGTTTCTAATTGCTTTAGGATTATCTGTTATTTTACGCTATTTAGCTGTTATTTAACTTAGGTTTATAATAACCTTTAGGAGTTAACGCAGTTTCTTAAAGAAGGTAGGTAGTATTATTATTATAATGTTGCTATGTTAAGGCTATATGGCTAATAATAATAGGTTAATTAAGCCTAATGCTGCTAAGGCGTAGGAAACTAGTAAAGAGGCTGCTATGTTAGGGTCAGCTAGGGATATTGAGCTTGCTTGTTTAAAGGTTAAGAGGACTGTTTTTCCTTTGTTAATACTGGACTTAATGGATTGGACCTTAGTGTCCAGAGCTTTGATATCAGTGTCTAGGGCTTTAATATTGGCATTAATATTCTTAAAATTAGCTTTAATGTCTACACTTGTGCTGTTAAGCTTCTTCTTAAGTTCCTTATTTTTCCTTACAACAATGTTAAATGTCGCTATTAGGGCGACATTCTCCTAATAGAGGGTCTCATTCTAAGCCTTAAGGCCCTCAGTCTGCTCCTAGAGTTGCTTAAGCACTTTATTAAGTTTGTCATTCTAGGCGTTAAATTTATTGTTCTAAGCATTTATTGCTCCTTTAATAAGATGTTTTATTATATCTTTTGTAAAGATAGTATTATTATTTAGGTTAAGGGAACAGGTAGACTAAATCAGCTTTCCATTTAGTCTAGTGCTTCTAGCTCTTCTCTACACTGCTGCAGTATTTCTCTATGCTTTTAGAAACAGCGCTAGTATGCTTATTACAACAGCGTTGCTAGTCAGGTCCAGCAGCACCCTTTCCCTTATCTAAAATCGACCGGAGTTAGATAGTCCGACTTATTAAGTTGTGCTGTAGATGAAACTGTCAATAAAATGATGAATATCGATAAAAAATATCGATATCGGTTTTTTTCCCCCCTTCCTAGGGATTAGCAGCAGCCATCTCGAACTTAGACTGGAACGCTGAGGCTGGCTCTCAAGGCTAAGTGAAAAGCTATATATACTGCTAAGGTCACGACTTCCACAGCCAATCATATGGTTTCAATGGTTGTATAGTGTAGCGGTTAGCACAGCAGATTTGAAGTACCTTGAAATTAGGTTATTTGATGTTCTGCAATCCCCGGTTCGAGCCCGGGTACGACCTTATATATCTCATTTTGGCTGAGGTGTCATCTTTTGTAGATTCATGCTGTTGTCATTGTTGAGAATATCGCAGGCTGGTCATGCAAGGCACGTTCATGTACAAATGAAAATGATTCTTTTGTGCACTTAGCCTCGTCTCTAGGGGGTATTTCATGATAATATGTCAGGATGGTTGGTTGGACTGATGATAAGCAGGAGCAATAACATTCATGAGCTGATTCTTGCTCTCCTGACTGGACCTTTTTTTGTTTTGGAAAGTTCAATTGACTTGGTCTTTATATTCTAGAAAAACGATAGAAGACGCGTTTTCAATCGAGATGCTTAGATATGGAGAGATTGACTGTGACACAGCAAATAGCCATGCAAAAGGTCGTGCCCGGGATCGAACCGGGGACTCGGGAAGGCTATTCTGACATATCTGAAGATGTAATCAAAATCCCACGTGCTAACCGCTACACTACACAACCGCTTGAACAGATGTTGTTTGCTTGCACAACAACCTGTTGTTGAAACTCAGCATCGACTTGGCAGGGCTATAAACAAAAAAAAGAATTCGCGGCAAGAAAAAGACGCAACCCTGTCCATTCTACTGCACCAGTCATTCACATTGGCCCCAGTGGTGTAGTTGGTTAGATCTCCATCATCCAAGTGTCAGATCTGTTTAAATGCACAGAAAGTCGAGGGTTCGAATCCCTTAGGGGCCTATAAAATCTTTCTGTAGAGCTGTCCCATACTAAAAACGAAACTTATATTATAGTAGCTTAGGTCCTTATTATAATATAGATTAATATACTAAAAAAAAGGTAAAAAATAGGTACAGAGGCACATTAACAGTTAAAGCTAAAGAATGAGATATAGACTCTATAAATATTTATATACTTAGTAAAGTAAATAGTAGCTGCTTATGCTTCCTATAGTAAGCACATAGCGTATAAATCAATTAATCAATTAATCAATTATATTCACATTCATATTCAGCTTTCAGAACAATATTGATATTTTTTATTGATATTTATCAGTTTAGTGACAGCTTCATCTACAAGTCAACTTAACAAATTGGACTATCCAACTCTTGTCAATTTTAGTTAAGGGAAAGGATGCTGCCTAACTATTCTAATAACACTATTGCTATAGTTGCTCCTACCCTATCTCTATAAAGAGTAAAAGTAGTTATAGCTGCTTAATAAAAGATTAGAACTATTAAGCAAAATAGTAAAAGGTTAATTTAACCTATTTATTCTCTTAGCCTAAATAATAATATTGTTTTTATTAAAGATATAATGAAATGCATTATTAAAAAAGCAATAAACGCTTAGAATAGCAAATTTAATAAAATAGTTAAACAATTTTAACGCTAGAATGAGCAATTCTAATATTAGAATAAGCAACTTTAGAATTAGATAAAGGCTCTTTATTAAGAGAACGTCATTTTATTAATAATATTTAATATTATTATTAAAAAACCTGATATTATTAAAATAAGACTTAAATAGTTATTTATAAGAAGTAAGAAGCTAAAGAAGAAATTTAAACTCTTATTTACTAAATTGAAAGCTAATATTAAAGTCTTTAATACAAAAATTAGAATTATTAGTTCTAATACTTTTAACCTTTAAACAGTTAAGCCTATTATCCCTAGCTAACTTTAATATAGTAGTATTATTATTAACTTTATATATATTTACAGCATTAAAATTAGTTAATCTATTATTATTAGCTATTTAACCTTATATAAATAAAGGAACGCTATTAACCTTATTGACTTCCTTAGAGAAGCTATAACAACTCCTAAGCATTATAATTAATATTAGCTAAGTGCTAGCTAAATAATATAAGCTAGCTATAGATAATAAAGCTATAGCGAAAAAAAATTAAAGAAGTAATCACATTCTAGCTATTAGTATATATAATTACTATTAAAGGAATTTAAATAAGAGCAAGAACTATAAGGGTTATTACCTAAAATAAAAAAAACATAGCACAACTGTAGTTAAATAATAAATAAGTCTACTAAGTATTCAAAATAGCCTAAACTTATAAAGAGAACTGCTTCCTAATTAAAATTGACAATGTAACTAGAACAGCAGTCCTAGTACTTAGTATTAGTAAAATCTACTTAGAGTTTATAGCAGCATTTGCAGCTAAGAACAAGTTTACAGGCGCTACTAAGGCGTTCTAGCTATCTAAAGGAGAGAAACCTGCTAGATCTATAGTAGTTTATTTAGCTATAGCTAAAAATGCCTAATAAGCTCTTACTAAATAAAAGGTTAAAATTAATAGTAATATAGCTGTGGTTAGCAAATACTAGAAACTTTAATGCCTTTAGAAATGCTACAACTATAATAAATACAGTTACTATTAGGCTAAGTGTAGCTAATTAATAAAATATAGTAAATATATAGAGAATTATAAAATTAATAATTATAAAGCTGCAGCCCCTAAATATGCAGCATATAGTAAACTATATACTGCTATAAACGTAGAATGTTTAGTATACTGTAATAAGGTTAGCAGAATTTAAGAAAGAAGATAATACACTAATTAGTCTATTTATAATAGAGATAAAGAATGGCAGACTATTACTAGTTAATAAATTAGACAAGAAGCTACTATAAGCAATGTTTAATAAGAGACATCTATTTCCTTTTAGCAAATGTGAATAGATAATCCCTAGTTTAACTTAGCCTTATTAACAATTTATTTATTAGCTAGTTTATAGCAATTATAGTTATAAAACTAAATATTACTAATATTAATAGTAAATTATATATTTCCTAATATTAGTATTAGATTATTGTAACTCTATCTATTTATTAAAAAGGACTAACGCATTATGCGTTCTAGTTAACATTATATATCTATAAAGATATTTTATTTATTTAATTCCTTATACAGTTATTAAATATAATTATAAAAATTATTACTACTTTAATAGGATATATTTTTATTACGTTAATCTATATTCTAAGCTGTAGCTAATACGCCTCTTCTAAGCAGGACCTAGAAGAGGCAGCCACTACTAGGCTTAATGCGTTAAGTAGCGCTATTTAAAAAGCAAAAGTAAAATATAGAGAAAACCTCCTTATTGTAATAGAAAGCGACTTTAATTGCTATAACCTAATATAGGAAAGAATCAATGTGCCACAATTACAATATATAAAAAAAGGTGAACTAGTGCTCTAATAGATGCATTAACACAATACATTCTTAGCGCTACTAAGCAGCACAGTCATGTTCCTATAGGGACGCTTTAGAACCACTATTGATCTTATGCTGGTGTCTAACTTAATGGAAGACCGGGTCACAGAATGCAGTATCTACCCAGCCTAACACGGGTCGGACCATGAAGCTATAACACTTCGAATCGAAGAGGCAGCCATCAAGGTCATAGATTCAAGTCAATGCGAATGCAGATAGGGAGAGGAGACAGTCCAACACTTTGTACTACTATATCCCAGATATAAGACTTAAAAGCGAAAACTGGCAAAAATGCTAAGCCCTAAGTTTAGCAATATCTCTCAAATGATAGGAGGGCATAACCCCTACACAGCAATAGGGCAACCCTATAGGAACGGATTAGCGCACTAATAGAGAGCAGATATAAACACAGTCTATGTAACTATTAGATATGCAATAGATATAGGGAGACTAGACTTTGCAAAGGAGCGTAGAAGGCTGGAAGATGAAGCCGAGCAGGACAACTAGGGGAATGAGGCAGAGGACAGTGGAAGGGAATCAGAAAGTGAGGCTGAGGATTAAAAAAAATATATATATATACACACTAGACACAGCATTTACTGTAGAACACCTAGACGGAATAGGTGCACAGGCACCCTAACAGTTTAAGCTACAGAATGAGACGCAGACTCCATACATAGTTTTGTAATTAGCAAGCTGTAGATAGTAGTCGCTCATGCTTCCAGTAGCAAGCGCATAGCGTATGAAATAATCAATCAATCAATCATTCATATTCACAATACGTAAAGATCAATGGTCGCCGCATAATATATAGAACCAATACAGTTGGAGAATCAAGCGATTCGGTCTCGTCAGGCTATTTAGATCATGATGTTCACTCCCGTGGCTTCACATACTATTTTTGTGAACAACTATGAGACAATCAGCTGATAGCTGTGGAAAGAATGAATAACTTATACTCACACGCAAGCACCCACGCATGGTGCCGGAAACTGTGGTGAAAGTCGTGGAACATGGGCTATTGCTCACAAATGCTATTCCTCACGAATTATCTCTTGAGCCACAATATGCTCCTCGTGCGCCGGGTATGGTGGAGTTGAATCGATCATTTCCGAGTATACAAGAGCAGACAAGGCGCCGACGAGTTTGAGCCTCTTGCATCGTCTCGCTTGTCGTATCAAGAACGAGAATTGATCGTCTTATAGGGCTAGATTTCGTGGCACACAACAGTCGGAACTCAATCGTACAGAGTGGAGAATGTTACAAGTCCATAAAATCTCAGCTGGGTATCTATTCATATTCAATCGGCTTTGTCGCCAATCGAGCTCGAACGTTACGTCGATGCTCTACCGGGTTTCTTGACGCGGGCGTGACATCAACGCGCGCAGATCCTCCGTATGTCTACCTGCTGACTTTGCATGCGGACTCGCTGTGATCGGTGGCTCAATCTGTGTCTCAAGTGGCGGAGAGGATCCCTCACTCTCTGTCTCGGGAACCACGCCCGAAGCGGCATTGCTAATCGGTTCTTCCTCACCACTTGTCACGACAGGGTCAAAAGCCTGTTCCTCAGGTCCTAATAGCTCGCCCCGTTCATGCATCTGGGCTTGGCCGGTTCCGGATGACCAGTCGAAGCCGAGTTCATCTTCGTCACGACTCTTGGTATGGGATGCCCGCCATTCAGCAAAGCTGCTGGCATGGTTCTTTGCGGGCGCATCTGTGGCGACATCAGGGACATTTTCTGCTACTTCGCTTACACTGAGAGTGGCGTCACGACCGGCATCTTCGACGGGATCCATGATTACAGCATCTTCTTCACCGCTGAAACGGTCTCCGCCAACTGCATAGCTGGTTTGACCTTCGGAGGTTGATGCAATATCGTGGGTGATAGAAGTTTCCCCATCGGACTCATCTCCGCCATTGCTCATAGTGTCCCTCTTAAGTCTCTCAAGGATAGACTGTTCCCTGGCAGCGGTGATCTTCTTCCTTTGAGCTTCAGTGAAGGAGAATTGACTCAGGACTTGCTCAATCTTTTCTTCGACCAGCCCCTTGACGTGGAAGGCCAGGGGGCGAGTGGTAAAGATACCGGCGAATCGATAACTCAGCCAAAGGTAGGCTACGACTGCCTTGTGAAGTCGTTCAAGTTGGCGTAAATAATCTCTGTTTGCCGAGACTTCCAACTCCAGTGTCTCGAGTGGAATCTCCTGAATTTCAAACAGTGAGCCTCCACTCTGTTGTTCGATGCATCGAGCGAATGCTGGCATAAGACGCT